TAACTAAAATCATTTCTAAAGGTCTCCAAATCACAGCCAGATGAATGTTATCTCCCTGACGGTCATTAAAGGTTGCACGTGGTCTGACTAGAGGTGACAAAGCAAACAAACACAAAACAAAACAAAACACAATTAAAAGCCAGCTATATTTCCATATCCGATATCATTTAATAAGCACCACTATTTATTTAAGGTTAACTGTGCAAAACCAGTTTCTCAGGAGCGCATGCAGCCCAAGACTTTCCAACAAAGTTTGTCAGTAACCCCAGTACCGGAGCTAAGGACATACCGCACAATTTTGTTAACAGAAAGAAGGAAGTCAACAGTTACAAGTAGCGTTGATTCTGCGACAAGTAAAACCAAGTATAGAACCACACCGAGTTAAAAAATAATCAGAAATCATAATGAATTTCACATCAGAACTCTTAAAAAATGACTTTCTATAAACTACCTCTCAGAATGAGGAACGCGTAAGGTGACAGTGCTCTAGGGATACAAATTCTTTTGAAGATCTACCCAAAAGGTTAAAACAAATCTAGAAGTTTAAATAACACCATGACAGCCGCCCTCTTCTATTCCCATATCCCATAGTGCGGAATCTATTACCCAGTGCTCCGGTTCCATATACTCTAGCAGGCTTCAGTTCCCTCTCAGCTCTTGCATATTTTGCTGCAGAAACCATCTTCATGGACTTCGTAATTTTCTGAATGTTCTTGATGGACTTTAAACGCCTGGTAACTACAAGGTTAATAGTTGAAGGTCAAAACTCGGCTATACTGAGCATAATGACATCAAAAACGAACAAAAAACACCAGCAAAATCCATCCGAAACTATCTCACTAATTCCCTGAAAGGTGAAAAAGTAGTAATTTAAAAAATGAACCAAACAAATCTAAAAACAAATAAGCAAAAAAAAACCTTTCTTAGTATTTACAGTAAGAAAGTGGTAAGAGTAGTAACCTGGTTAACCCGAATATTGCCTTACAATAGATTTCTCCCAACATAAAGTCTATTTAACATTTATGCCAAAAATGGATGCTTTGAAATAATTTACGTTTTTTTCCTACTACAGAACTGGTAACTCTGCCAAGAAAAGTTTAAGAGGAGCCTGTATGTCATAGAAGCCTTATTCTCTTTCCTTCCAAGTCTACCTTTTCCTCAAATATACCATTTGATGTACATTTAAATACTGAGTCTTCTTTTTTTTTCCCCCCTTCATCATCTGGGAAAAGATGATAAAGAGATAGAGTAAACTTGTTCCTCTGTTCAGATTCTGGCAAAATAAGATTCATGAAATCCTGATGTAAAAAGAAAACAAAACAGGTGTCCTAAATTCAGTTCCAGGACAAAAGCCCTACATAAGAACCTAAGACTAATGCGGCTTAAAGAAGCGTTATTAGAGGGCAAACTAACAGTCAACCTTTGTTTTCCAACGTTGGATAAACGCATAAAGAAGTCAAACTAACGTAAGAGGAAATAAGTTAGATTTTTAAAGCTGAGTAAAAACCTGTTTTAGTGTACCTGATTGAGTTATTTTTAAGATATGTTTGAGTAAAATTATACTGGTTTACTTAAATTACGTTTCAGCTCATGTCAGAAACATTTCAAGTAATGCCTTTTTGGAAAGGCAATTCTTGAATATAAAAATTTGCCGGAGATTTATATTTCAATAGCGTGGTGTATCATAATCATTTTATCTATCTAGAGAAGTCACAAGCTAATTGACAGTACATTTGAACATCTGGTCTTCCCACAACAATGTCCCTCTCTTGCGAGCAAACCAAAGCAATACTTACTGTCTTTTAGAGTTGCCATATTCCTGACTTGGCCCCTGAAAACGAATGCAGCAAACATTAGGCTAGCTCCCTAGTTCTCCAGCAAACCGACGCCTGTCCAAATCAGCTCCCTTTAAAGCAGACGAGATTAAGAATTGCTGCTTCTTAGAAGGCATCTGTAGGAGGGTCGTTTCCCTCTCAAACCATGCCTGGTGTCCACACCTTCCCTTTCCTTCATCTCTTGCGCCGCTATACAGCATTCGATGCATTTTTTTGCGGCAAAACGGTGAACACCGGCACAATGGGATGGAGGACCAAGAGAGCAGGGCATCACAAGAGATCAACTTCCAAAAGATATAACTGACTTTTAAAGATCTTTAAAACACGAGGAGCAAACCAGAGGGAGCGGCACCACGGCCTGACAAGCACCGATCGCCAGCAGCTTTCCGCCTCCCGGCCGCACAGTGACCTCCCGGGCTCTGTCCCTGCCAGCTCCCTTTTCCCTCCGACCCTCCGCCAGCAGCCCCCGCTGCCCCCCAAACTGCAGCCGAGCGGACGGAGCCT